AGCGCTCCCTCGGGGCCCGCAGGCAGCTCCCCATTCGAAAAGTGCCCTTTTCTTTCATTTTTTCCACGTGCTAATTTAAGCTAATTGGGACGTTTCCTTGCCTTTTTTTTTAAATTTTTTTTTATTTAAACCTTTTATTGTTCCCGTTGTGAATGGTCGCTCCTTTCCCCAGCGTGGCATGCGCCGTTGGCAAAGGGGATGAAAAATCAGAGTAGCGGTACCGGTGTGCAGGCAGCAGCGAGACCCAGACGTGCAGAGGCAGCGTCAAGGTGCGGAAGGGCCTGCTTGGCGCAACAGAGTAGTACTGGAAATTAGGCCGTTCAACGCCAGACTTCAGTCACAACCCTAATGAAAAAGTATTTAAACATCAAACTTCAGTAATTAAATTCAGCGCCATAGCTGAGACATTGTTCTGATGTGACAAGAAAGAGCAACAGTAGCTGAAGCTGACCTAAATTAATGTTTTCTGCTTGCTAGCGTTATAACTGGAATTGACTTTGGAGAAGACTCTGAATAAGTTTGTGGAAGGCTTTTGGAGCTGTGTTAGCAGGGAAAGGTAGCTCACGTGTCGTTACTGCAGTGTGTTCGTACAGGCTATCTGCGATTTCTGTGTCAAAAGCTCAGGTATAACAACCCGTCTGAATATTTTACTCCATGTAGTCTGACATTTTAAAAGATTTTAAAGAAAGAAGTGACAATATGATGCCAGTATTTACACTATCACGCGTTCCAGTATAATTTCTGTGGAAATTAAGGTGACAGCTAGAGTACATGAGTAAAAGAGACATTCATTATGATGTTTTAGGTCTTCCTGAGTACCAGTAAATTAGTAATGGACAATGGAGACGTTTTGAATAAAGATTTATGGAAAATGTGTCCTTATAAAGTGATATTTTGTCAGTCAGAAGATCTGCATTATCTTCAGGAAAAAAAAAAAATAACCAATGCCCGTTGAAGTATAATGCAATACGCGGTACTTGGTTAGGGCATAAGGAGTGATGCAAGCAAGTGTACTCAAGTTGTATCTTAAGTGAGAGGAATTCAGAGCTGGTGTCCTGAAGAGTTAGAAAGTGAATCGCCCCTTGGCAGATGATCTAAAACCATGGATATCCAGTTCCTATCAGCTCTTTTTTAAGATCTTCAGTGCTTTCTCTGGTCCCACTCTTTTGAAGACTGCACATACAGTGGTGGGTCAGTAACGAAGTCATTTGCTTCATTAATATAAATGAAAGAGGGTGTCTCAGTTAATGTTTTAATATCATTTTATTGTCCTGGACGAGAGAATAGTACCTCAGGATGGGTTTGGTACCTCAGAATGATAGAACTGGTGGCAAGTAAAGTCTGTGATAGTTACAGATGACTTTTTAATACTGTTTATTGGTTATTATGCATCTCTAAAATTAATTATCTGGGCTTTCAAGTTGTTAAGATAGGCTTATTTTTAAGAAGTATTTTTTGTTAAGAAAAGAAGTACAACTTCAGAATCAGCACAGATTTTAGAGGATGAAAAGGTTTAGTTCTTTGCTGAAAGAGTTGTCGCTGTCCTTTTCATTAAAAAAAAAGAAGCCTTAAAACTGTGAATATTTTTAATGGAGATCTGCCACTAGATCCTCTGATTTTAGGCTATGGATTCTGCTAGCTTGGCAGGAAGTGTCACGGTAGGACTAAAGAAAACCCCTGTGTCCTTCAAGGAGCAGGAAAACAGGGGACATTGAAGGCAATTCTCAGGTAAGTTTCAGTGTGTATTGAAACCTGATGTTTTCCAGTGCCTAGAACTGTTGTGATATAAATTGCCATTAATTTTTTCCCAAGACACTCTTTGGGTTTTCTTAACCAACTAGAACATTAATGAGCGTTCATGTTTCAGTCAATTCCCCTGGTCCATCTCTCACTTAATCTTTGCCTTCTTTATGTTCTCAACTTCCACGTATCTGAATGCCGGAAAAATCTCTCTCTGAGTGACACGCATACCTTAGTCTCAATGGAGAAACAAACCCATTAGAATCGTAGGCTTTATCCATCGTGGTGATTTTTAGCAGTTTTGTAGCGAAGAAAAAACGCAGAAATAACGTTTCTTCAATTCTGGTTTTTACGGTTTTGCATTTATTTGTTTCATGTCTGGACCGAACCGCTGGGTTTGGCCACTTGTTGATCTACCACTGCCCCATCCATTTTTTTAAGTGAGCATTGCTTCTCCTACTTAAACCCTAGGATTCCCATGGTTTGGTCATGTGGGCCTTCGTTGTTCCAAATGGCATAGACGTCGCTGCCAGTCATATCATGGTGCACATTCAGGGTATGGCAGTTGCCCCCAGGTAACTTTCAGCGAGCTGCAGAATACTGCTGGGCTGTGAGTATCAGCCTGAGAGTCCCAACCTTAGGCTGTGCGCTGAAAAGGCCCGCAAGTGAGGCAAGCAGAGGTACCGAAGGAGGAAATACCAAAGAGTAAGCACAAAGCCCTGTGAAATAATTAGCTTGTTTTTTTATAATTTATTTATGTCCCTTGGGATCAAAAGTTTGACTTTGATCCCACAGGACTGTGTTCCCACATGTAGGCAGTGCCTTGAAGGATTGGTGTGCGCCTCAAGAGTTACCAGTCCTCACCCTGAAAGAAACAAGCAGGCATTTCAACACAGCTTGTTCAGGAAGACAACTCCAGATAGTGCCTTTCACAAAAGGAAACAATGGCAATTTATAAGGACAGTGCTGCAGATTAAGCGAAAGGAATACACATCGAAACTTAACTTGAAAACATCGAAACTTACTTGAAAACAAACTTCAAAACCTACTGGTTGGTCTTGTCTTTCCCTTGAGCATGATGAGAGCTTCTTTTCGTCATATTTCACGTCTCTCTCATCCAACACAGGCCTCAGTGAGAACATCTGGAGAAGTATTGTTGGGACCTGGGTAGCAATGTCTTATTTTCAAAACTGGCTGAAGCCCTTAGGGTTAGGCCAGCTAAGGGAATGCAGGGCAGTGAAACGTATGTTTCCATCACAGTACCTCCCTCATCATGCTTTGAGTCTACTGTGAGATTAAGCCCAAATCAGGATGCAGGCTCTTCTGCAGCACTTAAAGTTTGGCACAACTTAAGGACCCTTAAGAAATTAGATAAGCAGAAAACCACCTGAATTGCCAAGGTAAACTACAAGGGAGGAGAGGGAGTAGATGGGTAGGTGGTAGGTTTGGCCTGTGCTTGTGGGGACGTTCATGGGTGCAAGGCGAGGCAGGAATGAAGCAGCAGGTTTTGTGAATTTAAAGTAAAGTGGGTCCATCTTTTTGCTCTGCCTGCTCTGTCCTTGGCAATCTGACACCAGGAATACCGGGCTGTTCATGAGATCATGGCTACGTGACATCTGTGCTACCGCTGGACTCCTGTTCTCAGGCAGCTCGAGCTGTGGCCAGATTGCTTTTGCCTGTGCAGGAAAGGGCATCAGGGCCCTGTGTGGAAATATTCAACTATTTTTTTTCCGCTTAGCATCACCATTGCAAGGACAGAGAGGCTAGCTGGAGACTTAGGACCTATCCATATGGCAGATAAAACATGTTCTGCCAAGGCACTGTAAGCATCTGTGCCATTTGAGGTTCACCTTGGCAATCCCAGTGCCTGCTCCTGGACTTCCTTCTACTGCCTTGTCGTAAGATTTAGAAGCTACAGTCTTTTATTATTCAATAGGAATTAGGCAACACATACCTTGGGATCACTGAATCTACAATACTTTGGAGAATGAGACTCGGGTGCAATTGAAGATCACAGCTGTCACGTCATTTTAGGTATCAGCTGCTTTAGCCATTTTGTTTATTTTGTTATTTTTCTAGAAGAAGTTAGAGTACATTAATTCTTTTTTAAATTATTAAAGTACATTTGGAAAACATTTTTCTTCTGTTTTTTATTATTTTGTTTTATTGAGGGGTAGAGGAGAAAGTTTCAGTACTTTCACTCACCGGAGCTGTATAATGGTTTACAGGGGCACTAGACTCCTAGATGTTTTCCCTGTTGCTGCTGTTAAGCAATGAAATGTTAAGCACAAAATTTGAAATAAGTGCAAGAAGTGCATAAGTGTGCATATCTTGAATTCCTATATTTTCATCCCTGAATGCCTTACTCCATATTTGCAAATGGTGTTTTGGGAGGGTCTGATGCAACCTCTGGAATGATTTCAGATACTTTGTTTCAGTGAGCTTCCATAGAACTTCATATTTATCTTTCCTGTATCACTGAAAGGTATATGCGATTTTAATCAGAGGAGCTAATGATAAATTTGGGGGGTTTTATTGTGGTTAAAAAGTGTCCCATGCATCTGTTTCTTGCTCATGTGATGTTATGACTTAGGGGGTCTGCCATCTGTTTACTTCAACATGGAACTAAGCATAAATATGTATGTAAAGAGCCTTACATTTGAGGAACCCAAAATTATTTTATTTGACCAAATATCTTTTGGTTCTTTACAAGTTTGGGTTTTGCTCTGGGTTAATTTTCATTTTTATAAATGTATGCTACTACATAAAAGCACAAACCCATGAAAACATGCCAAATGTGGTTTGTGCTTGGGGACATGTAGCAATCTTTGCTGCACTTAAAAAAAAAAATGGCCCATAGATACCAAAAATATCCCATGATTTGCCTTTACTACATCAAAGGATATGCAATCGGTATACGTTCTGAAATGCCGTAATCTCTGCAAAAACATATTGCAATGTGTGTTCCTCAGATACACAGAACTACAGGTATGTTTTTGCAGGATTCACAAATGACACATAAATGCAGGGAGCAAACATTACATTCCATGTGTTGTATTCCATGCTTGCAAATGCCTATATGCCATGCTGTTTTAAAAGCAACTTTTGTTAGGAGAATATTACCAATTTCTTAAACTGTGCTGTTGTCATTACTGTGAAGTTTGTGTAATATCTTTAAAAACGAGTAGAAAACCATTGTAAATAGATTATCTCTTCATCCTCCTCAAAAACATATACAACGTTATAATGTAACTTATGTACAAAATGTAAAAAGAAACCCAAAACATACATGGATGTGGAGCAGAAGAAATAGAGAATTAGGAGCCAAATACTAACTACTCAGGCAAGAAGTACGCGTAGCGTTTAACGACGCATCCAGGATCATGCACAGACACTCAATGCAGCCAGAACTGTCTGTCCCAGTATGTGCTTATACCTTTGTTTCCACGTAATCTGCTTTCCTTTCCTACACGCACAGACGGCATAAGGTGAAAGTAAAGCTCTTGTGAAAGTCAGTGGACGAATCAGGGATCTGGTAGAGAAGCCCAGTGCACTCCCTGAGGGGAAATAGTTCTTCCCAGGGTGCTCCTGCCTGCCAGCTGGGGAACTGCAGAGAGTATGTGCCTCCTGTGCAGGCGGAAAAATGGTTTTGGTTTTTTTTTTTTGCTTCAACGTAGCTCTATTTTAAGTAATGGTTTATACAAAACGCTGTCCTGTATCTGCCGTGAAATAATTGATAGACGTGAAGTATCTTTATGTAGAAGCAGAATTAGAGATTGAATACTGGGCCAAATTCACCCAATATCGTAGCTATAACCCAGCTGATTTCTGTAGCTTAACCGTTGCCTATGTTAAAGCTGAAGTTAGGCCCTTTGAGGCTTACCTCAGGTGTGTACACTCATGTACAAGTCAAAAGAAATGGGTCTTAGAAATCCAAAAGACATGAACTGACATTATCTCCAGTTTCTGGATCGATCAATAAAATGCAGAGTGGCATTAGAGCAGCGGTTACACAATTTTTGTCTGTTGACCATGGCCAACCCCCAGCGCTAATCATGGGCCAGCAAGCACCTGCCATTCAGCTTTGAATTGCAAATACACTAAGGGCAGTTTGGTTCTGCAGTCCGGCTGCATTGTCCTCATTCTGCGATGGTATCTGCGGCTGCCGCTTGGTAACTGGTGCCCTGTCGAAGGACCCACCTACTTCTTTATCCTGAAATACTGCGTACTGAGGCACTGGCGCAGGTTGCCCAGAGAAGCTGTGGCTACCCCCTCCCTGGCAGTGTTCAAGGCCAGGTTGGATGGGGCTTTGAGCAACCTGGTCTGGTGGAAGGTGTCTCTGCCCGTGGCAGGGGGGTTGGAACTAGGTGATCTTTAAGGTCCCTTCCAACCCAAACCATTCTGTGATATCCCTCCTCAGTGCTGGGACATCTGACAGCTCAGCCGAGTCTCTAGCCGTTAGGGCAGGAGGCCGTCTAGGCGCGCCGGCTGTGTGCTGCCTCAGCTGCATTTGTTCTCCTGGTGAGTCCTGCCTGGGTCACCCATACGCAGTGCTCCTTCCAGCGATGGCCGGGCTCAGGTGGGTAAGCTGCCGAGGGTCTCATTTCGTTTGCAGCTGATGTACATGGAGAGTGAGGTGCTTTCTCGTTGGTTCTTTTGCTTGAACTCTGCTTGACTTCGGACCCATGCTATCTCTAATGTGGATTTTATTTTCTAAATAACGTGTTCCGGTTCAGTCAAAAGTCGTGGCTGTCATGCAGGGATCTTGTAATGAAATTCTTTGGCCTTTTGCAAATATTAGACTGGATTATATAATAGTTGTTCTAGTTTCTTAATCTATGAATCTGTACATATATACACTATTGTGCTTCTTAAGAAGGCAGTGGAAGCTGCTGTTCTGCTGTTATATCTTCAATTTGTAATTGCATCTTGCACTTAATCATTACTGACTTAATACTAATGACAACCACAGTATATTTGATTGAAGATAAAACCCAGAAAAAGCAACTGAGAATAAGGTAATTTGGAACACTTGCAAACAGATTTTTTTTAAGTTGTTATTCTTGTTAGGTTAGTTTGCCCTATTTTTAGTTTACATCCACCTCCCTGAGTCAGCAGAACTGTGGGAGAACAGGCTAGATTTTCTTTTGATACGTGCGTTAATATTGGAACTGTTTGTGAAAAGTTTACCTGGAGGCCCCCATCAGTAACATTCAGTTACAACTTAATTGCTGACAAATTTACCTGTTTGGGTCAAGGTGACTAAAGGCAATACATGAGACAACATGATTTTCATTTTTCACAATGTTCACTCCCTGAGCCTCTAAGAGAAGACCCTGGTAGTCCTTCACGTGGTCTTTCCCCTTGCAAAGGCTATTCATACTTGAGAAACTCAGCATGTATTTTTAGTTCCTTCTGAAGAGTTTTGATAGTGTTTTTCTCAAGATGTTCCTTAAAACTGATGTCAGTGTTTCCTGCTCTGTAATTATTGTTTGCCAACATCAGGAGCAGGTTCCCAAAATAATCTTTCCGCGTATGAGTAGATCTTGCCCACGTGATTTGTTCCAGTGAAATCAGTTATCTGTTTTAAATACTGCCTCTGAGATAAAAGGAGATTAACAGCATCAGACCTCCCACAGAATTTGCCTGCCAGCTTAATTGTTTCATAAGCACAGGCCCAGCCTCCTCTACCAAGTTTTGCCTGTGTAGCTGTACTGGTTCAAGATCTGAAATTTTCTTAGACCTTTGTTGATGGCAAAATCTTAGATGACAACACAACTGTTGTCTCTACCAAGAGAAACAAGGTTTTTATTTATCTCACGTGGTGAGGGGGGCAGTGTAGCTGTGCTGATCAAAAAAGAAGAAAAAAAGAGTAGCTCCTGCCATTAGCACATGTTGCATGCTATTACCCTGCAGGCAGAGTTATAATGGCAGATGCACTGAGGCATGGAGGAGTCTATATTTGCCCATTTAAAAAATATCTCTGTCTTCCTTGCTGCTATGTGGAAAAAAACCCAAACCACCAGCCGTACAGAAAACAAGCAAACAGCAACACAACTAATTATTTCCTATTACAGGCTGTAAACAAAAGGGAGGGTGTGGAGGGGCTGTGGTTATGACCCGTTATTTCAGTGTTAGGACTCCCGTTCCTCTACAAATCAACGACCACTTTGGAAACATAAGCTATGTGTTTATCTGCTGACTAGCAGCTAAGTTAAATGGCTACAGTAGCCTGAGAGACTATGAAGAGGGATAATTAAAAGGCAGCATCAAGATACACCTGAAAAGAAGCTGCATCTACCTGTCATGTAGGGTTTCTTTCATAAAGTATCCCGGCCACGGAACCAACTCAGGGCTGCCTGCCACACTGTACTCTCCTCTCTGCGCTGCTGTCTCATTCAATACAGTCGAGGGTTACAAAGATGTTACTGGGTGCAAATGGAGCTGTGAGGCATTTGCGAGGAAGCCCCCCTTTTACTTACCCTCCGTCTTTCGATGTCCTGAAGTTTATTGAGCATCATTCAGTTCTTTTGCAAACTTGTGAGAATGCAAGTGAGACACCGTTTAAACGTGAAACAGAATGAATGGCTTCTGATGTGCTAGGGTTATTGGATGTGATGTTTTCGCATGTGCTCATTTTTAGGAAGTGAGTTTAATTATAATTGAATGTGTTGTCATTCCCAGGAAACAGGACTTGCATTGCAAGAGGTTTTTAACAACTTCTGAAATAAATATCACTAACGAGATCTAATATTACAATGACTTCTCCATTTATGACATGTAATAGGCTTTCTCGAGACACCACATATTAATGTTACACTAACAACGTGGCATTTGGACTGCTTAAATGAAAGTAAGGTCTCCCTGCTGACACCAGGTGTAAGATGCTTATTGTCATCAAAGATAACTGCAAAGTGTGGGCATCATGTAACTAAATTTCTGTTCCTATCTATTAAAACTCTATAAACTGGAAGAGTTATCAGTTTGAACGCTGTATAAACCACCTTGCAGTTAACAGGGAAGGGCAACAAAAATAATCAAAGTTGTGGACCAGCTTCCATACAAACAACAAATAAATGAGGTAAAGCGCTTCAGCCTGGAAAACGTGACTGAGGGGAGAAAATAGAGAGGCAGGGAATAGGTGACCACGGATGAATTTGCTGAAGCGTCCAGTACAAGAATGTGAAATAATACAAGGAGGATACAGGTGCTGAACAAATGAAATGAGATAATTCATCACCGAACTCACACTTAGGCTGTAGAGCACCCTGCTACAGGATGACGCCGATCTCAGAAGCTTACCTTGGTCCCAGATACGAGGCTAATTTGACTTGCTTGACTAATCACAAAATGTAAATGCCTAGAAAATAATGAAGGCATAGATGAAGGGAAAAATCTGTCAAAGACAGAAGTACATTTGCACAAAGTCTTTGTCTAACTATCTGATTATTGGCAAAACTAGCGAATGTCTAAAAGTACTTTAATGGATTAACCAAAATGACAAAGCTACTATATAAATTACTTGCTCTCTTCTCCCAGTTCTAGTTATTACTGACAAGAAACTGGAAAGAATACAAGTAATTATATACAAACTGAAAGAGGTTTGATAAAATGTTTCTGGGTTTTAATAATTTCTTGAAATATTTTATCTTATGCTATAATAAACAAACCAAATGGTTTTACCTTACTTTATTCATCAGATGTTTTTGTTAAGCTCAGCAACATTTTTTTATAGGCCAGTTAAAATGAAGTTATATTGAATTGGGAAGCTATTGCTGTATTTCTCTTGATCTGTCACCACATGGTATTTATGCATTTCTCTGTGTGGCTTTGATAGAATATTGCTGATTTTAATCTATCATATTTAATGTATTTTCGTATCCAATGACTGAGAGGTCACAGAGTAACGGGAATATTGACAAGTCTCGTTCTAAGCCCTTGGCTGTAAAGTAAGCTTCAACAGTGAGCGTTTTCAGAAGCTGGGCTGATGGGAGGCGAATAGAGGTGGTTCTCCATTGAGCAGAGACTGAAAGAAAAGTCTTGGTGTTGCCAAGGCGTTTACATGGATAAAAAGCACCACTGTGTTTGCCTAGGGGGAAAAAAAATATCTTGCTGCAAACCAGGCCTATTTTCTTCAAATAATCTCCAAGGAAACAGCCTCTGCCAAGCTAGGATCTGATTACCAGTTACAGGCCGCAGACCATAGCCATTATTGTTTTAACATTTCTGCCTTCCTCTTTATCCCAGCGGGAACCAGGCTGTAAGGGGTGCCGTGTAACTTGACCTTGCTCAAAGATAAAAAGACAGGTTAGCACACAGCGATCGCAAAGCCAGAAGCAAAAAGACAGTATTTAGAAAATAAAGGAAGGAGCTGGCATGGTATGATTATGTGTAATGTTCTGTGCTGTGCGGCGTGGGTGGCCCAATAAACAGTACCCATCCACAAAACCCAGACAGAAGCTTGGACTTGGTCATAGTTTCTCCATTTTTAACCTTGTCTATGCAGAGAAGCTGTGATTTTCATCACTGAAGTATTAATGTTACCTCAGATGATTTCCTGCAACATTGGAGATTAAGGAAAAAGGGAAAGAAAAATGCAAGGAGAAAAAAAAAAGAAATCTGCATAAAATTTTAGTGCTTCTGTTAAATAAAATGAATAGTAAATTGGCAGAAAGAGTTGGATATGAACCTTAGAGCTCACTTTAAGTCTTCGCTGCTGTTTTACTACTGTCCTCTGAGCTTTCCGTGCAACAAGCCAGTGAGCCCAGAGGTCAGCAGCAAGTAGGCATGACGTGTCTTGAAGTGTCTTGGGGATGCTGAAGGAAATAAATGCTCAGTAATTATGCATCCAGCATCCAAAGGCTGAAAAAAAGGTGTGAAAGGGAAGAGAGATTCTGCTGCAATCAGCCATAGGTGCTCAAACTGATACGACAACTGTGCATCGCACAAATGGGCACTGTCAAAACCAAATGAAGCCACAGCTTCAAGGCCGTGAGGTCCCAGATAAATCATGGTGGAGGCAAAGTAAGTGATGTATTTCAGCTTGTCTCAACCACCACCTCGTCTCATTAAAACAAAGCGACCCAAAACACAACTAAGGGTAGGTTGCCGTTTCTATGATTTCGTAAAGATTTCAAGTTAAGGGCAGTAGAATTGTGTTTTTTCACATCAGACCATACGGCAGATAATAAATACCTGAGATTCTGATCACTGATAACTTCCTACATAGGCATGGGCAGAAAATGAAATTTCTGTAATCAGGTTCCCTGACAGATAATGCCACGTCATTCTTCACACATCCTCACTCTCTCTCTCTTACCATTAGGTTATAAGCACTTCAAAGCAAGTACCCGCGCGGTGCTCTGATCACAGTTAGAGCGTTTTAGTACTATTACAGTATGCGTCAGACCAGAGAAAGGAGTTGCAGCTCAGTTAGCTCTAGGTAGGTGGGACTTCTGGTTGCAGTCTTGGCTTTGTTTTAATGGCTCCTTGGAAATTATACAAGGTTCTGAGCAAAAACACAACAACCAACCTGTAGTCCCAGTCATCTGTACTGATGTCTTGTCAGTGGGAGGAACCAGTGCTTCTGAGAACATGGCCTGTTTGCAGCTTTCTACATCCCAGTTAGTTTTTCCAGCTGTTATTTACACATAGCAGAATACGTTCTGCATCTTAGGCCTTTGGACTTACTGGGACCAAACCAAGGGTTAAGGTGCATGGGCCAGCAAACTCGACTTTGACTTCAGCAAGTGGAAAAATTACCTACCTGCACCAACTTCAGAAATGCTTGAGCTTCTCAACAGAGACAAAGAATTAAGTTGCATGATGTGTTTGGAAAGCTTTATTTTCCTCATCATTTTACCTTGTGTGAATTGCCTGTGCTCAGGGGTGACCAAAAAGCAAAAATCCCCGGGGAACAAACCAGTGTTAAGCCTGGCTACAGCATCCTGCCACAGTTAAATGGTCTTTTTTAACTACTTCATGGAAGAAACAAATTTACTTTCTTTGTGTTTTTGTTCCCCTTCCAGACTCTGACGGCACCTGCTCCATTTGCAGACGAAACAAGCTGTCAGTGCCGAGCCCCGCATGAGAAGCTCACCATTGCACAAGCCCGCCTGGGAACACCAGGTATGTGTAGAGAACGACATCAGCAGGACCATGGGTGCTCCCAAAACACAGGCTCTCCCTCACAAGCGTCTGCTCATACTCACTTGCACCTTCCGCTTAGAAGCAGAAAGGCCAGCCTGATGTCTGGTGCTATCAGCTAACAGGGAAGAAACGAGTGACTAGAGGACCATTATCTTCTGCTAGAGAAAAATCAAGAGAAAAGGTTTCAGCTTAGAGTGTGTGAGTTTTCATGGATGTCTGCATGTTGGTCGGAAGGAAGGCTTGCTAGCCCACTCCAGACGGCCTGAAAAGTTTTGTTGTGTAGTGGCTGCCTCCTGGGTTCTCTTCCTGTACTGCCTCTGCATGCTGGGAAACCTCTTCTTTCACCGATACCCTCGCTGATCACATCAGACCTTCAGTGGCCTTAAAGGCCATTTGCCCTTTGAAAAGGAACCGTGCCCAATTTTGGAACTCTATCTGGACAGTTTTTCTGGACCTACCTTTGTGACTGGGTTGGGGAAGCAGAATGATTTCACATAAAGTCCCAAATACATACTTCAGCCCCCCTAAATTCCATGAGATTCTTTAAAAAAAAAAGCCTTTGTATACTTATTTTACATATTTAAAATAAGCTTTTAAAGTACATACATTTAATAGAGGCAAGCCCCAGCTTTCCACTCAGCTCTTCAAGGACCAATGTTGTCCCCATATTTCCATGGACCCCTGGATGTCCTGATAGCAGAGGTATTTCTCTGTAGCACTGAAGCAAGTCCATGGAGGTTGGAGCTCTGTTGCTCTCATCCCTGCTGTCCTTTTGCTTGGAGGTGACTTCCCTGTGGCACAGCTGCCAGGTGTGTCATTTGGTAACCACATGTCCTTTTCCTATCTGAAGGCTGCTGCTGAAGATGTCATACAGGCAGCAAGAGTTACAAGGGTGATAGCAGGAGGATGGTGAGAAAAAGAAATGATAAGCTTATCAGAGAGAAAAGCTTGGGGGAAGGATGGAAAAATGGAAGTGAAAGTTTTATGTGGAAGAGGTAGGCAATACATTTTTACAGTGGTAAGCTGTGGAAAAAAGAAAGTCACAGACAGGAGGGAAGGAAAAAGGAGATGATAGGAAAAAATAAGGAAAAAATTTTAAAAATCCAGAAGGCAGAACTGACTAGAAGGCAGAGAGAAAAGAACAAGACATATGGTGGAACTCCAAATGAGGAAGGAAGATGACATTTTTGCTAAATTAGAATACGGGGATGATGGATGGTAATAAATAGGCTAAGTCTGAGAGAAAACTGCAGAGAGTATAGAGAAGAACAAGTAATGAGCAGGATAAAACACTGCGAGCTCACCCACAGTGTGTTTTGAACATCAGAACTGGGGTAAATCTCCGCAATCATCTGATCTGGGAACAAAAACCTGTCCAGTAGAATTAAGCGCAACTTGTGTTGGGTCTGAAAAATCACTGTTGTGTTTCTTTCTCCACAGTTGACAGACCTGTCAGAGTGTATGCAGATGGGATATTTGACCTCTTCCACTCTGGCCATGCTAGAGCTCTTATGCAAGCCAAAACTCTCTTCCCAAATAGCTACTTACTAGTAGGAGGTAAGATCAGAGTTATTTATTGCACTGGATTTTTGCTTCTGTGCTTCAGTATCAGAAAGTTATTGCAATGCTCGCACCCCCAGCTGTTTATACACTATGACTTTGAATGCTGCCTTCGCTCTGGGGGCTTTCTATAGGCGATTTGCCTTGAAATTACGTCTTACAATTGCATCAATTAAAGTAAAAGTCAAATTCTGCCCTCAGCAGCACAGGCACAATTCCCATTCTAGTTAAAGCAGGTGCCTGCATGACTCTGAGCTTAGAATAGCTCCGTATGAATAATTTACCTTTTTCAGTTATTCACTCGAAATTGTTCAAAGATGGGGATGAGTGAATGAGATCAACCGCTCATTTATTTCTGGCTCCCCAGTCCCTCCACCAGCCAGGCACAGCCCGCATCCCCTGGCTGCCAGATCAGTACTGTGTGCAGACCCAGCCTTCAACATCAGCAGAAAAGCTAAATCCAGCCCGTTATCATTGGAGACCCAAATGTAGGTCATGTGAGCTGAAAGCTAAGTTCAAATCAAGTGTCCCCGGGCAGGTTACTTTCTTATCATTTTTTTAGCCATGAATATCTTCTTTTTTCACCGTGTGGCTGGCTGGCAGCTGTTCAGCAGTTGGTGTGTGCCTGAGGAGTCACTGGGGGGTGGCTGTGTCCTGCCTGGCTGGCTGTGCAAGCCCAGCTCTCGTGAGCCTCGTAAACACGCATTTCGGTTCCAGTCTCCCTGCACCTTTGGGCTTGAGATGCGCCTCGTGTAAACATTTCACAGCAACCTTCAGCTCTCAGATGCTTACAGCAGTGATGATAAAGTGAGTGTGAATGAAACCTTCAGATGCTTTGTAAGATGCATTATTTTGAATCTTTGTCCCAAATCAGTAGAAAAGAGGGAAAAAAAGACCCAACATAGAGGAAAAGCAAAATCACTTTATAAACACACTTTTTGGTTTTGCTTTGAAGTTTATGAATTGTGGCAATTCCCATGGAGCTTCCTGGGAGGGAAAGAAGACACCCCGTTGTTATGAAGGAAACATTTAGGACTCTCTTGTTTTCCTGCCCAACCAGATAGCTTGCAGAAGAAGCTAGTGGAGGTGCAAGACTGTGAGGTTTTAAAAATATGCAAGTTATGTAGGTTTTATTGTTGCTTTTAAAGGGAGTGGGGTGGGGGGTTCCCAGATCAGAGAAGGAGCTCTGAGGCAAAAGCCTGGGTCCTTTGAAATTCATGGCATAGCTTCACTTTGCCCTTATTTTTGAAGTTAAGGACAAAGCAGCCAGCACTAATCAGCACCTCTTCCCAGCAAGGCACTCTGCATCTTGGCATGTTTAAAAAATGGGCACCTTTCCACACCCACATACAATTTGTGCTGCAAAAGCATTGGTGTCGTGTGTCTTTGTGGGCGCCACAACCAACCCTTTTTATTTCTTGTTGTGAAGACAATTGTTTGGAGCTAAGAATGTTTTTTTTATTAATAGATATTTATACCTTCCCAAATCAGTCTTTAGAGCAGGGTGACAGAATCAAAAGGAAATACAGAGATATTGTGTCTGCACTGTACATGAGCAAACAGTAATCAAAAAATGAAATCAAACCTTTTTACAGAATTCAAGCAAAAATTACTATTTTCCAATAATTTTAGTAGACCCTTTCTTCCAGGAGAGGGTAGCTTTAAGATAACATAAAGGCTGTAAATAAATATAAATACAATCTCAGAAGGCATCTTTCTACTGGAAATGCTTTGATCTCCATTAAATTTCTGTCAGCAGGCATCAAAAAATGACATAATAGGATAGAGTAGCATTTCACTAGCTGAAATTCATATGTATACTATTATCTGGCTTTGAATTTTGCACAAACTCCAGGGCTATCTAAGCCTTCCTACGTTTTTCCTACTTTAAAGGTCCTTAACAACCATCACAGCAAGAACATCCATTTTAGATCTCAAAAAAGACTGCATCTTTGCCAGCGCCTTGCCTGATAGGTTGATGTTCTCAAATTAGAAAGAAGCAGCAGCTGCAGGGCTGCTCTCACACTTCCCTGCAGCACTAATAACGTTGCATTTATCATTTGTCAAGCACATTGACTGTTTGTCCCGGTGTCACAGACAAGTGAGATGCAAAGGCACAGGTTTGACCTCTGCTGAAGGACAACCACTGTCAACCCAGCTATAAATGGGTATCTCATTATTCCATGTGGGGTGTCAAATGACTATCGTCGCTGTAATATTGGACAGAGTTACAGTTGTGGGGACAGACCACTGTGCTTTACGCAATGTTACGTGGGTAGAAAGACAAAACCTAACTTTTATAGTGCTGTGGTAACATGGTTGTTGCTTCCCCTCATTTTAAAAGCAATGTGACAAAGTATTGGTACATTCAGAGTTAAAGATGCAGGATGTCCGGACCTGCTCATTCCACCAGAGCATACAGCTTCTCCCAGTCCTTCCCATGGGACTTCCTTCTGCGATTTCCCATTTGAACGTGGCACAAGCCTTACTTCTGTTTCTATGAAGCCTGCCCAACTCAAAGCTAAACTCAGAGACAGATTCCTCTAAAATCTGCCATGACTTGTTTTCCATCAGTGTTTATTTAGTGAGAAGCTGTTCTGCTGTGATTTAGAGCTTTGTTGGCAAATTCATAATTTAGGGCGTTGTTTACATAACAACAGGCGGGAACAGGAGGCCCAGCGAGGCTGAGGGATCTTCATCTTTGGAAACTCAGCTGGACGTGGCCCTGAGCAACCTGCTGTAGTTGACCCTGCTCTGAGGAGGGAGTTGAACTAGATGATGTCCAGTGGTGCCTTCCTGCCTCGACCATTTTGTGTTACATGACATTTGTGAGCACTCTGCCATTCCTGACACTGCACTTTTTGATTGTTTTTAAAGCATTGTCCATCACCCCTGAAATTTCACAGCCTATGGAATCCCCTTTTATGGTGGGATTAAGTTACCTCGACATGAGCATGTTGTACCGCTTGAGATGGCCCACAGTATCTCACTTGGGCTCTGGCTGCAGCTCCGGAAAGGGAAGGATCTCTCAGAAGTCTATGGTTGTACCTGCCAACCCTAAGCAGAACTCTGAGATGCCCCGGAGCACCCCAAAATTAGCTAAGCTAATAGCTAAGTGCTTAATGGAATTATTAGGAAATAATTAACTGCTGGTCGTGCTAATTCTACTGAGTGTGGAGCCATTTTGTTGATACTTCCATATTTTAGTTTGCAGTGATGATTTAACTCATAAATTCAAAGGCTTCACTGTGATGAGTGAAACTGAGCGATACGAAGCCCTCAGACACTGTCGTTATGTGGATGAGGTCATCAGAGATGCACCCTGGACATTGACACCCGAGTTCCTTGAAAAGCATAAGGTACACTTCTCCCCTTATCTCTCCCTTCCCCTTTGTAGACTGACAGTTGAGAATAAACAGCAAGCCTGCAAAATTCTATTAGGTGGAGCAAATTATTTAACTCGGTTAATTCCCGTCACTGAAATTAGGTACATGGCATTGCTTGCCTCCATCTTTGTCAGAAAATGTTATATTTGTCTTGCCTTTTTTTTCTCGGGATGCTGAGATAATTTCTGTAGTGAGATTTCTGAATGGCAAAATAACACTGAAGATTTGTTCACAAATTGACTTTCAGGAAAGGAGATAATGAACCAGAAAAGTTATCATGTAATAGTGACTAAGGTCCTGTTAAAGTCCTGAATTAAAGGCACATTTCTTATGAATGTCAACAGGTGCAATAACTGGCCAGAAATACATAAAATTGTCATGTGTCCTCTAAAAGCTAGGACAGGGTTTCTTACGTGCTATAGACTGTCTTGCAAAATATATAAATCTTAACAAAAGCATAATTAACTAGGATGTATTTTAGTGTCCACATCGCTGGGTGACAAATGGACAGCATGACAGTACTAGGTATATACTCACAGCCCTAAGGAGACAGAACGGTTTTGAAAGCCAAGGCTTTGCCACTTGACTTGGCTCTTCCAATAGCAATAAAAGCAGGAACGGATGTCTTAGGTTTTCTACAGAATATCGCACAGAGCCAGCCAGGGCGATGTGAGAGTGGCGGTGCTTCTGGAGACAAGCTCTCTGTTCTTTCAGAATTACTCATACAACACAGCAGTTTTAGGCCTAAATCTAGTGCAGTGTTCTAGGTGATGGCTTTAGGATGAGAATGACAAAAGCAAGTCAGCTGAAGTCGAGAAAAGAGATGATCCTCCACAACAACCCCCCACTGAACCAGAATTCAGTGATGGTGGCATGTGATTCTTCTTCTGTTCACTGGCAGATTGACTTTGTAGCCCACGATGACATCCCATACTCCTCTGCTGGCTCGGATGATGTATACAAACACATAAAGGAGGCAGGTAAGGGCAACTTTACATTTTTAGCACTTTCCTTTTCCGCCTCAGCTCAAATTCTTTTGCTGCCTTTTGACCACGACTGCTGGGAGAGAAGCAGTAGAGATAATATCACATTCTCTTACACCCTAGCGGGAGGTGGTGCTGACTTCAGCAGAAAGGTTCACTTTGTAAAACCACAAAGGATGTCCTTGGCTGAATTCCTGCCACAACCCCCAGGAAACCATTCAGGTCTGTTACAGAAGGGTTCCATTTGGGTTTTTTTAAACAATTTCAGGGTGCTTGACTAAGAGCTCTGAACCGATGAAAATGAGTTCAGTTCCTACATCAGCCCGGCCAACGTCAGTGGTTTGCTGCTAACCGCAGACTGCTGACTCCTTGACACAGCCCAGTCCTGAATACAGGCAAGCACAGGCAGCCTTCAGGAGTCATTAGGATCCGCTTCTGATTTGCACTGAGGGTTCTTTTTTCTACACTGGCAGAGGGTTTAAATCCGTACCAGAGCGATTCATTTGCCATGACTATTTAGCAGCTTGGTTGACTGCCGTATTACGTTGAACATGACCGTGCTGAAGTCATCAGGAGTTTGTATCTCTTCAGTTCGAGGAAGCTGAATTAAATCTGAGGAGACCATATTAAGCCACTGTTCGCCAGCAGCAGCTGTTCTAACACAGTGAACAGCGCGGGAGGAGGAACTGATCGCCCCTTTCTTCTCCTGCTCCTGGGAGGTGCTGCCCTGAACGCTGGCGAGTCCATCCTCTTCCTGGTCTACATAAGCTTGTATATTGGAGGCTTAAAAAAATGCCGGAGCAAATCTGCCTGATGGTAGTTTGTCATGCAAAGTGACCTTCTCAAGCTATACAATGACAGCAGGAGACCAGGTACTGACCTAAGCTTGAAAGAATAAGCTTTGTTTAGCAGCAGTTCTTGACCTTTTTCTACTTGCAAGCCTCACTGTGGTGTCAGACTCACAACCCTCCCTTGGGAGCTGCTGTTTTACAGTTTCAAAGCCAGCACCGGCATACTTCAGTAGGCAATGGAACGAAGGTACCTGTGGTAAGGACAGGCCACCAAGGGACATACAGCATATGTGCTGGCCAGGCAGCTATGTTGCCTTTCTTCTATAAGGTGCTGAGTGCGCAGGACAACGTGACAGGAGCCCTTGGTGTCACTGCATTGTTACCAGACTGAGCTGGAGTGTGCCCAAACCTGGCACATCCCTTTCTCTGCTGTTGTTGGCCACGGGTGCGGTGTGCATGTGTCCTGACGAGAAATTCAAGCTTTGCAGAACAGGGTAGGGACTTACAGCTTCGGGGACTTGTGGTCTGTCCTGTGTCTGTCGCTGCATGATGCTGGAGAAGTGACTTCAGTCCTGTATGGCTGCATTTTGGTACATGTAAACTGGAAATAACGTCAGCTTATTTGTGGAGATTTTTGAGATCTAGTGCTGTAATAGTCCTAATGCTCCAGAATAGCATTATTACAATAGATAATTTCCCCTTTCTCCTAGGGCCTTTTGTTTTAAGTAGACCAATGCTGTGGATGCATTTGTGCATTTTCCTTAGTTCCAGTACTCCTGTTTTCCCACATCAGGTTGTTGGGGAGCAGAGAAGCAGATGGGATCTGTGGAGCTCCTCGTGTAGATTCCTGTGGGCTCCTGTTTCCCCACAGCCTTCGGTGGGTGGGAAGGCATATGGACAACGGTGAGCTGGGTAGCGGTGTGCTGACTAAAGCTCTGCGCATCTGTGAATGATTAGTTTGGAAAACATGAATCAGTCCAACAGATGAAGCAAACATATGAAAGCAAAATCAATGACTAAAGGTAATGTCATCATACATGAATTTGTGTATCTACTTGAAAACAATTCCGCTTTTGGCTCCTCAAGGGTAGGGTTTGTATTTTGTTCATGTATTCTTGGAGCTTCTATCTATAAAGGCTTCTGGCTTAAAGTGGGTTTTGCTGCTTCCAAAAATAGTTTCCTGAGTGACTGCTGCAAGCCTGAAAAGCACGATCAGGGAAACCTCTCTGCTCGTGATTAAAATAATCTATTTTTCAGCAGAGTATTAATTAGAGATCAGAAAGAAAAAATATCACATAGCATTTAGTCACAAGAGGCTGCTAAGCTTCTTGACTCCTTCTCCAAATCTTTTTGTAACCCTGTGAAATTAGCTAGCAATGCCTGCCTACTTCAAATGAATGTGAGGATTAATTTGCCAGTAGCTGTAGCACCCTTTTAAGACAAAGCGCTACTTTTTTTTTTTGAAAAACCATTTCCAGCCTTATCTCACAGCTCGCTCTCTCATCAGCAGCTTGATGTTGCAATTATGTTTAAGTGATAGTAGTAGTTTTTTGTAGCCCTAAATAACTACTAAACCAAGGTGTGCTAGCACTCTGCTTTTATTGCCTTTGTGACTTGCATTAACAGTTCAAGTGATCCTGTCTTCATGAGGAGCAATTAAAAAGCAATACATACCTCAGCTGTGTTGAGGAAAATACGAGCACTATTACTAAATGGCCAGTTTTCTTAGGGACTGATCTGTCGGAGCAGGGAGAGTGATTATGCAGCCACTGCCATGGCCAGGTGGACATGAAACGGGGGCTACGGAGACCAATACCCTCAGTCCCCACGGTATTTCCATGCTTGTTCACACTGCCATTACTCTTCACCTTCCTGTTGAAAGCTGCTGGCACTTGCAGGGTCTTTCCCAGTTACTGTAATGCAGCTTTCACCTGAAGGCACTTCCTGGCTTTGGCCAAGGCCAGAGGCTGGTCTGCTTTACTCAGCAGAACAAAGACCTTCAGATGGTGCTGCACAGGAGTGGAGGGGAGAGTGGAAATACACAGGAGAGCCGCAAATGGCCTTTCAGTAGCGGGAGTGGAAGCCAGCCCCCTGCTCCTTTATATAACATTAAATAAAGGCCACACTTATGGAAAGAACTGCTCAGTGAATTGCTGCTACTGTGAGGCTTAGCCGTCCTGGCTGGGGAGCCCCTGCCAGTCTAATAACTTCCACATCTCAGCTGACACTGTGCAGAGGGCAAGTTTTAGCCTTTCTGAAGATCTGAGGAAAAACAAACGGTATAGCAATCTAGTGTCTTCCCTAAACTAACACAGGAACAAGAAGAAAGAACCAGGAATAAGACAGGCAGAATTGCGAGTCTCTTACCTTCTGTCAGGCACTTTTGTGTTCATCCCCAGCTACCTGCCGCAGCGCCTGGTCCTGCCGTGCTTTCTCAGCGGGCTTTCTTTTCCCACTTTGCTCAGGAATGTTTGTACCGACGCAGAGAACCGAAGGTATCTCCACATCAGATATCATCACAAGGATCGTCCGGGACTACGACGTGTACGCCCGGCGCAACCTCCAACGAGGATACACCGCCAAAGAGCTGAATGTTAGTTTTATAAATGTAAGTACGTACACTGATCTGCATTTGCTTCTGAACCACTCTCTGCTAGGACCCCAAACGTAGAGTAAAAGTTAAGAAAGACTGTCTTCCCCCTGCTGCTTTTAAAATAGCTGCGAGGAACTTTATTTAAAAGAAACTGGTAAGCTGAGGGTAGTTTTAATGTCACCTATTAATTAGCAGCTTCATTTCCATCTTACGCTTTTATGTTTGTGACAAAGCTGCCGCTCCCCCTTCTTCCTTGAGCTGTAGGTGACTGAATGACACACTGGGAAGGAGCCCACCCCCCACCACAGGCGTCTCAGCCACTCACCCAAGACATGATTTCTTTCTTTATTCCCATTGTGAGAAGGCAACATAGAGAGCAAAGATTTTGATATCCAAACTTTCTCTACAATGCAACAGAAGAAAAACAACCCCCCCCCCCCACTGAGTAGTGAGGTGACCAGAGGAAGCTAAAATGGTTTTTAAAAGACAAGGAAGCGTGTTAGGAAGCTGGTACGTAAACGATGCTGATCAGAAGCCACAACAGGTAGGGCAAGAGCACCATTTGAAAGGATGGCTGAAACTATTCAGCTTCCACGTACAGAACTGCACCTTAACCTCCAGTTGGAGTAAACAGAAATTAAAATTTACTTTCCTTCATTTTCTGTTTCAATGCTTAACTTACAGCCTCAAGATAACCCACATAACTGAAATCTTCCTTGTGATAGGGCTGGCTCGCAGCAGGACTTCCCACCTCCTTCCCTGAGCTGGGAAACCCCCTTGTGAAAGACTGAATTGTGTCATCTCATGAGGGTTTTGTTTACTTGTTTCTTATTTTCATTGAAGTCTGGCAGATAAATCGCAGATCACAGGGCATAAATACTTAGTTCACTGTGCCTTTTTTTCCAGTCTTCTACACCTCTAGAAAATCCTGCTTGTAAGTACTCCAGCCAGAAGGATCACTATTGCAAATATCCATTAAATTAAGGCATGGTGGATGCCTTGGGCGTTCTCAAATTTATCCTTTAGTGGCTCTAAGGTTAAGATACTGTTGCATAAGGTATGCTTCCCGCAGTCTCGGACGCTGATGTATCCTGAAATCTCTCCTGGCATTTGGTTATTTAACTTACAGTAATTTAAATGCAGAAATACTAATTTGCACTAGGGGCTGCTTGTGTTTCAAAATAAAGAAACCCAGGATTTCACCAAGATAGAAGAGCACTGGTTTCCTTGTTAAAGAAAGGCTTCGTCACCTATTAGGTGCAAAGGGAGTTCAGGTTCTTTGGACCTTGATGATTTTGTTTGACCTTGTGGCCTGCAAAGACAGTTCTTCTAGTGATTCACAAGCTAGAATAAAACCCACCTCAGGACTAAACAGTATTTGTTTTAAAAGTAAATTCAAGTGCCCATTAAATGAAGTTCACAGGAAATTAAAAGCCGATAGTGATCTGTGCTTCTACAGAGACCATTACACCTTCAAGGGCACAGCGTTAGTTTGCTGTGTGTCCTGTATGCTTGAAAAGTTCAGGACAAAAACCCTTGAAGCCTGAGGTATTTTAGAAGCCTGGCCCCATGTTAGCCCCCTAACATCACCTTCTCTATCCCTCTCTTTTTCTGTGTGACTTAGCAATTAGGAGTTCGCTCGCTTTTCTATCGAGTCTGCTGGCCACAAGCCACTGGCCCACGCACATCCTTCTGTTGCACCCAGCAGCTCCTGCATTAGCCAGGCTTGGAAGTGAAGGGAGCTTTCCTTCTGCTCTGCAGAAATCCGACCAAAGAGACATTTTGGTCCAAGTTGTCATCCAGGCTGGCAGCTCAGCAGCGGGCTGTGTTTGCTAGTAAACCCAGGGAGATTCGCCTTTTGCTTAAGTTTGAGCTGTTAATTTCTGACTCGTATCCTTCACAAGATTCATAATACTTTTCAAAGTGCATTCAGTTTGAAAATATGGACAGATTCACGTAGTGGATTAAACACAGCAATCACACAAGATGGTCTTTTCAATATGTACCTTCTGCACTTTGTTCCACAAATGTTAAATTTGCATTTATAAAAATGATGTGGGAATAGTTAACCGAGGCCATATGTGTTAGGATACATTAATGCAATTTTTGTTCTTCCTCTCAGCTGTCAGTGGCTAATTATTTCCAAGTCCCCATATATTAATCTCTGTCCACACTTTTAAAACAGGAGAAGAAATATCGCTTTCAAAACCAAGTGGACAAAATGAAAGAAAAAGTCAAGAATGTGGAGGAAAAATCAAAAGAATTTGTTTACAAGGTGGAAGAGAAGAGCCATGACCTCATTCAGAAATGGGAAGAAAAGTCCAGGGAATTTATTGGCAACTTTTTAGAGCTGTTTGGGCCCGATGGAGCCTGGGTAGGTATTCTGCCATCCCAAGAAGCTTGAGTGGTTTGTATTTATCTTCTGTAATGCAGATCCCAGAGCAGATTCTTTTGCAGCAGTCTTTGTTTTGAAAGCCAGCACAGTAGGATAACGCCAAACCTGCTTGCGGAATCCCATAACGTGTGCCAGTGCTGCAGCGGGAGGATTTGCCACTTCTGGCTGTTGCTTCTTTGGGATAATTTCTGTCTTGTGTGAAGGTGTGATGCTGAATGTGATACTGCGTTCAGTAGGGCTGCGTAAAAGCAACAGACGGGCAAACAGGCTAATGCAGTCTGTTCTCCCCATTGGGACTAAACGAGACCAGACAGACATCAGGGAGGAATTACACACGGGAGGTGGTGAGGGAAACAGAGACACTGAAAAGCTTTTCAGTAGTTGGCTTCATGCTCTGTACTCAGCAGTAGAAGATGGCAGATTTCTAACTTTGGAAACAACTGATTTGAAGTTCCAAGAAATTATTTTGTATGTCGAGTGGCCAGGCTCATCTAACTGACTGCAGGGAAGGCTCAGGTGGACCTGAAGCGTTTTTGAAGCTCTCCTCAGTAGGTGCTGGCTCCACAGAGCCCATTTACTGAAGGTCCCCAGGTGCTTTGAAAGGCAGTTGCGCATCTGTAACAGCATTCTTCTGGGGAGAAACACCAGGGCCTAACCTGCTCAAACCAAAGTCCTGCACTGAGTGGGTGGTGAGTTGGTGACACTTCAGAGCCCCCAAAGAGTCCAGGTCCCCACCTTTCAGTTCTGATAGCTTCCCAAATCTTGAGAAGCTTTGTGTTCTTGCACTACTTCACTTTGCTACACTGAAACCAGTAGCAAAGCTTAATTTGAAGGTAGCATTTAGCCTTTGTTTGAACAGGCGTTCCTAGACCTTCCCGTGGGGACCCAGCCCCTTTGCCAGGAGCTCGCTGTGCAGCTGTGTGCCCGTGAGAGCCCAGGCCCCAGCCAGGCCCCCCAGGACAGGCGTCATCTTGGACGCGCTGTTCTAGCTGCAAGCTCCGAGTGAAGCTGTTGCTCAGTCTGAGGAAATGTGTGTGAGCAGGGAGGAGACAGCGAGCAGGGCAGAGGGAACAGAGTGGAGCAGAGTAAGAGCCAGACAAATAATCCCACAGAGCAGCAGGGTGCTTCAGAGGTGCATTTTCAGGCTGTGGCACGCAGTCAGTCAGGCAGCTCCCTCGCTTGAAAGCAAACCCTTTGCACGAGCCTTGTGCAAAGCTTTAACTGCTCATTTAAGTTTCAGAAAAAATGTCAATAGAGGCAGCAAGCCAGAAAAAACAGTTTAGGACTAGCATGAAGCAGATACCATTGGAATATTTGCGAAGAGCCAACACCCCCATAATGTTCTCTTGTGGTGCTTTGTATCAGTTCACACCTGAACAACTTCCCATAATGAAAGGTACCTTCTGTTGAAAGGATCTCGGCAGAGCTTTTGTTTATAAACAAACCCTCAGGAAGATTCACAGACCCCTGGTGAGTTAAGTAGCCCACATCACAGCCATGTCATGACTCAGTGCCACCAAAGCACCTATGTGCCTGCCTCGTACTGGAGTAGTTGTCATCTTTTCTCTGCCATGACTTGCCGTGTTGATTACCACTCAGTTGAGAAAAGCCTAAAATTAGGCTGTGAAGGCTTCAGAACAGAGACTGCATCTTCATAGTCTCCTTACTGCTACATCTGTCCCATGCAAAGGCAGGTGCTCTCTGAATAACACCGGTCCCAGCCATATAAACAGACAGCTTATTTAGCAATCTCTTCATTGACAGTATAATTTCCCTTGGGCAGGGGAAAGGGGTAAGCTCTTCTGATGAAAAGCCCAGGTTTACCTGCATTGACCAGATCCACATGAAGAGTTCTTCCTCTGTAAGTTCTTGACTGTAGAGCTTGGTGAGTGTTCCGCATGAGGGATGGTCCTGTGGCCAGAGGTGGCCTGATGCTAGCGGAGCACGAGAAACCCACAGGAGGCGAGACAAATTTGCCTGTGCCGAGAGGGGAAAAGAATTTCAAAGCCTTGATCCAATTTCCTGGCTCTACCCACTCAACACTGCACACTGATGGCATTTTTAAAAACACTTTGCCAGTAAAACTTTTTACCACATTTGATTAGAGAAAAGCAGGGGGAGAGGTGGCCTCCTGAGTTAGTGCCCCAGCCACAGAGTAGGAAATCTGGTGCAACCACAGAGACCTTTGCTAAGAGCAGGAGCGAAATCTCCTCGCAGTGTTGTAGGAAAAGCGGCAGTGACAGCAAGCTGAGAGGTGGCGTGGCTTTTTTAGAATCAGTTTGAGCCTTGCAACAGGAAAGACTTTTAAAATAATGATAACTTGCTATTAGTGTCAAAACTGTTATTAACATTAATTTGCCTTATCACTGTTAGTTAGATGTTGCTTTTAATGTTGACATTAAAAGTACAGGAATCGTTACGGGCATGCTAGATTCCTAGATCCGTAATTTGCATGCCATTAATATGCTATTATTATTTCACAAATAATTATTATAATACGCTTTACGCTAGCATCGATTTTCTAAAAGTAAGGGCTGCGTAACCCACAAAAAAATTCCTGTTTGTTGAAAAGGTCGAAACGCCAGTTTTCAAATGTCAAGCTCTCTCTAATTCGTTGGCCATTTTGCCCACCTGTGCCCTCCCCGTACGTATTCGTTCTGCGGGAGGGCCACAGAGGGGTCAGAAACGCCGATCAAGACGCAATCAAACTTTCGTTTTGAGAGAGGCCCAGCGCAGGCTGGCACGGAGGCCCTAATGGCGGGGACGACACCGCAGCGGGGAAGCGGGAAGCGGCGGAGTTTGTGCTGCGTTCCCTCGGACGCATAGGGGCAGGCAGCCGCGCTTCAGGTCAAGGGACGCGGAGGAGCCTGACGGCTTGCGAATGGAAACCAGGGCCGGCGTTTTGGCCACGCCGTGTGGCCACAGCCCGGGCCTCAGTGTGGCCTGGAAAGAGTCAGCAGCTCAGAAGCAGCCGTCCTCCGTCATGCCCGACAGGCTCTTGTTTTGTAAAGCAAAGGAGCATCAACTTGTAGGCAATAAAATCCAGAAACAGGCAAAATATTTTTTCCACAGTCCTAAGTGTGCCAAAAGCAAAGCGTTGTCTCCCGACACTGTTTGGGTGTGCTTGAACCAAGGCTTTGAAATGATTTCCCCACCTCTGGTAGAGGCGCGGAGCACACCCAGCCCCGCCTGCAGCCCCTGCGCTTCGAGAGCGCCCCTGGCACCTCTGCTCCTGCAGCGCCCGGGGCCTGAGGAGCAACCCCCGTCAGGAAGACCCTGCTGCGAAGGGCATGCCGTGCTTCTGGAGGCAGGTGAACCACACGACCACCTCCTCCTGCAGCAGCTGTGGGCTTAGCCAGGAACCCAGTGCCTAAAGCACGAAGGCTGGAGGCGAGTCAGGCTGGCAGGGCGCTCACCCTGCTGACGGTGCGAGGGCACCAGCTTGTTCAAGCCACAATCTCTGTGCGGAAGCAGGGACCGGGAAGGAGGTGTCCTGCAGCCTGGCTGGAGGCTTTAGCAGGAAGGTGGGGTTCTCCTTTCCATCTGTGGCCCCTGTGGCCCACAGTACAGTCTGGTATCCCCTGCCACGTGGGATACCAGCCCAGCTGGGCCACTTTGATCTCCCCCAGCACCGGTACCACACCACCGTGGAGCATGGCGATGTCACTGTGCTTTCTGAAGTGGCTGGGAAGGCCCCAAGGGCAGGAAGGAGTTCAAGTGTTTTGCTTGGCCAGGAAAGAGATATTTCATATCAAACATTTTGTTGTTGTTGTTAGGGGTTACCTTCAGGGAGAGGGTGAAACAGACTGAAGCAAGCCAACAAAACCTCAGTTTCTGGGATCTGAAGAGAAATTTTGCACTCCTACCACTGAATTTCAACAGGCTCCAGGGCTTTGCCAGCCCTGGTGACACCCTGATGGCTGTCAGCAGCAGAACGCCCCTCCCCCATTTATCAGGAGCAACCACCATCTGGTAACTACTGAGATTTTAGGAAGTCTTGACTATTTTGGCCCTAGCTGTAGTGCAGGGGCAGGTTACGCGGAGTGGGTCTTTGTGCATGGGAGCATGCCTAAGCGTGGCTCCAGGCAGGAACTGTTCTGTCATTCCGCACTGCAGCAACATCCAGGATCTAAAACTAAATGAATAAAGGCCCATGTGATAAGGGTATAAATTGGTGAGGGAGCTCACAGAGGAGCAGTTAAGCTTGGTGTTTGTGCTCAACTGTTAGCCCCCAGGATCAGCAAACAAACACCAGAAACCTGATGGGAAAACCTAGCATCCGCCCCTTCCGCTGGCAGGGAATGCTGAGCTTCAGAGAGGGGGAGGAAGAGCAGGATGGGCAGTGCCGTGCTCCTGGGCTGGGAGGAAGGCCCTCACAGAGCAGAGTTGCTGCAGAGGGAAGGGGAGGAGGAACAAAAAAGAAACTCATGCTGAGAAAGTCTGCAGCTGCCCAACAGGCAACCCCAGAATACATTCCGCAGAAGTATTTTGCTCTCAGACCTGAACGGCAGCTTAACCATGTCCGGGCTGGCTCTTCCCTTCCAGCCGAGCATCGCCTGCGACTCAACCCCCAGTGCTCCAGCCAAGGTTGGGCCTTCTCATTCCCCATCCCCAGGAGGAGCAGCCAGGCACTCGCACTTGGCCTTTTCCATGTGAAGCCGGCAGCTGCCACGCAGTCCATGCCAGATCGGAAACCCGAAGCGTGAGGCTATGTAGGCACTAACAAGCAGCAGCATTTGCCTCGGTGCAGCAGGCTGCTTGGCTGGAAAGGCGGTCTCTTCCACCCCACCAGCTCTGGCAGGTCTCCACTCAGCTTCACAAAGCAAAAATGACAATAAAGCCCAAAGCAGAACATAGAGCCTACACGTGTTTCTATTTTAAACGAAGACACCTGAATTGGGACATTCCCACCCCCACTTTAAGAGCTTGCGTGGTGCCTGCTCCAGGTGGCCGGGGAGCGGCTGCCAGAGTGTGGCAGGGGCCCCGGTGCGGGCCGGGGGGGGACACAGGCCGTGCCAGCCAGCAAGCGCAGCAGGAGCTGGGTGGTCCACCCCAGCACCCTAAAAGGAAAAGGTCCTGGGAACAAGGAACATTGGGAGTTCAGGCAGAAAACTGATGTTCGGAGACAGAGCACAGCTAACACATACAAAAAACCCAAAGGGAGTTCTCCATAGCTGGCTTAGGACAGTACACATTGTATTCTCACACTAAGGTTGTCTGATCTAAGAAAAAAAACCTTGTTGTGAAAAATGTCATTACGAGTGCAGTGGAAGAGGCAAAGGCTAAGTTGTGCTTCAGAGCAGAGGTCTGTCCCCCGCCTCCCTGCTCTCCCCTAGGTGAGAGGCACAGCGTGGCCCCTGCCTGCCCACAGACGTACCTTGCCTCCATCCAGTACTCAGAGAGCACCTTCTCACTTTGCTTTTGCAGAAGCAGATGTTCCAGGAACGAAGCGGCCGAATGCTCCAGGCTTTTTCTCCCCGGCAGAGCCCAAACAGCAGCCCTACGCGAGGCCGCTCCCCATCCCGTTCTCCGTCTCCTCCCTGGGTGTTCCATAAAGCCTCCCCTCCCTCTTCTCCAAAAGCTGCCTCCGCCTCCCTCAGCAGCATGAGCGAGGGAGACGAGGATGAGAAGTAAAAGATATTTTTTTAACCGTGAGACAGAAGAACAACCTATGAACTCAGCCGCTGGATGGGGAGAAGCGCGAGGAACACCAGGGCTACCTCTGACAGCAGGGAACGTGCTCTGGGAGAAGATGCTGAAAATGGACTGGAGCACAGCAAGGGAGATCTCAGGAAGAGCTTGTCCCATCCCCGCTCCCTCGCGGTGCCTGGAGGCCTGGCCGGCAGTGCTGGCCGGACACGGTACTGGGGACTGACAGAAAAACAGACGCCTCTGTGCAAGTTCTGCCCATGTGTTGCTGCTTACGGCTGCTGCGGCCAGGCCAGGCCGGACGGGACCTCTGCACTGAGCGGGGCTGGCGGGAGGAGCCCGGTCGGCTCCGGATCCTGGCCGGGCACACAGGCACACGGTGGCTGCGGCCCGCAAACGGGGAAGAAGCAGGCGGAACGGGCAGCTCTTCCGGCACGTGAAGGAATGGCATTGCTGCAGCAAATATATTCAGAAACGGGAAATAAAATTTTACTTTTTTTCTTTTTGAATGAAATCTGCCCCAGACCCCAAACCATGCCAGTGAAACGGCGAGCTGTCAGGTTGAGTTGGTGGCAGTCCGTTTCATATATTCAAGCTGTTGAACGCTGCTTGTTGACCGAGGCCCTGTACGGGGCGTACGTAAAGGGTCCGGCTGTATTTGCTTTATCAAATTGCTCTCTGTGTTCCTAATGCCTGAACAGCTACCTGGTAAATCCTGTTTTGCTCCCTGGTTTCGCGCTTTGGAGGCAAGAAAGTAAATGAAAAGACAGCCCTAGCTGGAATGTGTTGTAAGAAATAGATAGTTGAAGACCTCGGTGACTTTTACTGGTGAATTCTAAAAAACACACGTGGGATCCCAAGGCCCCGGGCTGTGACCTCCTAGGAAACCCTGATGCGCCCAGCTACGTACCACCAGACGGCGAGCACAGCAGTGCTGCTGCCCTCACGTGCTACTCAGCCAGGTGAACAAATGCCTCATCCAACTCTCAGCAAGATTTGTTCACGGGCACCCTGCCCCCGCAGGGGGTCCCGAGGCCATTCTTCTACCCTAACGCGGAGGAAAAAGTTGGAAAAAACAATGGGAACCTTTTAAACAGGATTAGGCATGGGAATTTTCTTTCTCTGTCCATGACACCCGTACAGCCCCCAGGCCGAGTGACGGAGAGGGCAGCGGATGCCTGGCTCCACCGCTGGCACTGGGCGAGGGGACTGCGGGCTCGCAGGGTTTCTGCGCCCCCAGGGCTGCCCCACGGCTCTGTGAGCTGCCCAGCCCGCGGCGGCGCGGTACGGCTGGG